GTGCAAGCAGGCACACTTGCATTTATGGGCGTGGGGGCAGCCACAAGCCTTGGCCCTTCTTTCCATATGGGTGAGGTGAGCAAGGGGAACCCATGGCAGGTCCTGCACCGTGCCCCCGAGGTCTGTGCCAGCACACAGAAGAGCCCTCCTTTCCCAAGGGAAGCACAGCCGTGCTTGAGGTGTTCCTCGCTTTTCTCCTACCCACTGGCCAGTCAGCAAAGATGTGCTGGGATACAGATGCCTCTGTGGCCCACGCAGCTCCGATGATATAGGGAAAGGAGCACTCCTGGGCAGTCACAGAGCCACTGCAGCTTCTTCTACAGGGCAGATAACTCCTGCAGCAGCCCTGCATGCAGAGGGTACCAAAGGGATTTTTAAAACAAATTCCTCATTCTTCTATGTATCCTAGCAACACCTCTCTGAGGTTAGAGATGCGTTGCGTTGCCCACCTGTTGCATAGGAAGCCTGAGGCAAGTTACATACTGCTTTTTTCCCAGTTTGCCCAACTAGTACGAAGCCACAGCCATTAAGGAATATGCCACAATCAGCATACTCCAGTCTCGTCCGCTCAGGCTGGGCGTCACACACAGGCATTCACATCTCTAAACACCATGAACTCAGCAGTGGCTCATGCAGTATGCATGTGGTCCAAGGAAAGGCCTTGCTGACACAGGCTGAGGGCTTTGTGATCAAGGCAATAAAAAGGGGGTGGCCTTAATCCCTGCCGCAAAAATGCTTTATGTGCAGTCACACAGCGCTGAAGGAGCGCAGGCCCTGAGCAGCTATCTAAATAAGATTTCCAAAACCACTGCAGGTCCAAAATGTGCACAGTGAACAAAACTGAAAGAAAATTTGGCTCCTCCCATACCCCTCCCTCCAACCTGATCAAGGTGCAATATAATAATAGCAAATGAGCATTCCTTTTTAAAAAAATCGCAAGAAACTCATTGAAAAGCAACTTTTTTCATAAGAGCTATCATTCTTTTTCTCCCTCCTCTAAAGCACCCCTTAGCATTTTCTATTTCTTGTGGGGGAAAAAAAGAAAATGAAAATGTTATAGAAATGATCACAGAACTTTAAAATTTTGTTTTATAGAACAATTAAAAATAAGTTTAATCAAAACCATAAAAAATAAAACTTATTACAAAAATCTGTTGAAGGGTAAATTTACAATGGATCACTTTCCACACCCCGTGAAGATGGTCATTTCCCTATGATTCTCCTGCTCGTCAAATTAGATTTCCGTTCTTTGGCTATCACTGACCAAATCCTTTCAGCTACAATATGCATTTGTCACTTGAACCTCAGTTATTTTAATTTATCATTTATCT